CCCATCTGTTCTATCAAGAAGTGCAAGTGCAGAAACATGACCGTCTCGAGCAGCTTCAATATCCAACGTTGAGATTGACTCAGAAGAAGGCAAAATTTTGCGTGCATCAAGCCGATTCTGTATTTTCCGTGATGGCGTAGACCACTGATACACCTGGAATGAAGCAATAAAACCGGTTAAGAACAATGCTTAACTTTCCCAAAGAGCTGGATAACTTTTGGAAATATGTACAACGAATAAAATTATAAATACTCATTGCATCACATTCACACACCTCCTACATAATATACGGAGCCAAATCATGGTCAAAAAAACAAGAATTAGTAATAATTCAGTCTGGTTCTTAAGTTGTGCAGTTGGCAAATTCCCCAGTTGCTCTGATAAATGCTGATTGCCTAATGCTTAGCTTGTTAGCGATTATGAAATTCGTTTCATCTTTTAAAAGAATTACGAGTTTGACAGTTCTAAAAGGCGTTTTCCAGCTACTAAAGCATTTGGCAAGGTTTTAGCCGCTGAATTTGGTGTGCACTGAGCACCACCACCTAATAAACATTCAGAATGATACGTCGGCGCATATATAAATATGTTCAAAAAATATTTTGATCTGCCATTATATTACATTTTTGCGTCATCGACACATCTTACTTTACGGTAACTGCAGTACTGATTTTAGGACGGTTACAAATTGGCGAACTTGTAGTTCGTTTCCTGCTTTCTTGTTTTTTTAAAGAAAAGTATTATACGTGTCACATTCCCCCAATGCAGCAATAATTTTCTTTATTCGCTCAAAAAATATGATGAATTAACCTTGCTGCCTGGTGAAAGAACAGACCAAAGCAGTGACGTGTCTGTTCGTGTAGTTAGCAAATGTGTCACGGAGCATTTACTAGACGATTGATGTTCATCGTGTGACATGTCTGTGGCCTGTACGAAATGATTTTCCGCTGTTATATTAAAGATTGAAATCGATGCTTGGTCATGTCCTGCCCAGATCTGTCTGAACAAGATTAATTAAATTTAGCCACATCATCATTCACCAAATAAACGCATTATCCTTCACAATCGGTACATGGGACTTTCAGTGTATTAAGATGCAGTCTAGGTCTGGCCCGCTTATTCCAAGCCGCTCAACTAGTTTGAAAATGGGAATTCACAGTAGCTCAATTGAATGGGAAAAGCAAACAACAATAGCCTCTCAGTGGTAACACAAAGTATTACAGGATATTGCGAATGGATAGTTTAAGAAACAGAAGGGAAACAAAAAAAAAACTGCATGAAGACGTTTTTATGCGTTTTTTGCAGCTATGCAATGCAAAAACTCATATTGACGAGGGGCTGTCTGTGTGCCCGTGTATCTGTGTGTGCGTCTTTGCCGAGACCTATAAAAGCTGCAGGACTGAAACTTTGGGGACATAATCTACATGTACGTACGGACTTCAATCCCCAAAATGGGCGCCCTACCCGCGTGGACCTACGTACGAGCCCACCAAAGTTTTTACGGGTAAACTGCTAACTCGGCAATCTGAAAAAAAAGACTGTAGTTTTAAGGTGATGTTCCCCGTTCCAGGTAAGTCAACGAGCTCAAACCCAGATATCGGGCATGCGTGCGCCCGTGAACGTTTTTTTCCAGTAAGCTGCTAACTCAGGAGCTAGGAAAGCTAGAGCTGAAAGTTTAAGAGGATGTTTCCTGACAATTTTGGCGGCCAGTCTTAATTTGTTTAGCCAGAACCATTTGCCGAAAAAACCGGTGCCGGAAGCTACAAAGTCTGCAGGGAATTGTGCAACGCATCTTCGCATGGGCAGCCCGTGCGCTGGCCAATTATTTCATTCAATTAAGTTTAAAAAAAATTTACATTTCCACATTTTTTACCCGCCAAGCAAAACATGGCTTACAAAAATCAGTGACCTGAGCATTTCAGAGGTGAGCCCAAATTCACATTGCTTCCACCAAATTCTGTTTCCGCAAATGAACTTATGATAACATCCAAATATAAAAGTTCACACAGTTAGATAAGCACATCTACCTTTCCGACCTCTTCATTTACTTCAGTTTCAACTTTATCTTTCTCTTCCTCAACTTTCCATTTTTATGCGTTTTTTGCAGCTATGCAATGCAGAAAACGCATATTGACGAGAGGTTGTCTGTGTGTTCGTGTGTCTGTGTGCCTGTGTGTGCGTCTGTCACGCACTTTCATCTCCGGACCTATAAAAGCTGCGATGTGTCTGTGTGTGCGCTGGGCCTCTGTATCGGTTTTTCATCTCGAGACCGGCAAAAGCTACGGAGCTGAAACTTTGGGGACTTGTGCGTGTGTGTGTGCGCTGCGCGTCTGTACCGATTTTTATGCGTTTTGTGCTGTGTAACAGCCTGTGCGTCTGTGTGTCTGTGTGTTCGTCTGTACCGACTTTTCATCTCGAGACCTGCAAAAGCTACGGGGCTGAAACTTTGGGGACATAATCTACATGCACGTACGGGTCCCCATCCCCAA